TCGATACCCGTGGCTCTCTTTACATTGTCCTGATATCTGTGACGCCACCTGATCAGGGCGTAGGAGTAGAAGCAACAACATGATGCTAGGAGAAGAGCTCCACTTGCACCTATTGCTATTAACATGACCAGCCTATTGTTCCCTTTGCCACCACCAGACCTTTTGCATTCACTACTCAATGGTTTCCCACACAAAGCTCGGTTTCCCTTGTAAGCGGACGGGTTGGGGAAACGGGAGCCCAAAACCGGAGGAATCGCTCCAACCAGGTTGTTGTTTGAGAGATCCAGGATCATTAAGTTTGGCGGCTGGGAGAGTGAGTCGGGTATGTGACCCGAAAGATGGTTTGAGGCAAGAACTAGTGAAGTTAGGGATGAACAATTTGATATTTCTGTAGGGATTTCACCGGTTAGGTTGTTCTGGCTCAAATCAAGGGCCCTCAAACGCGAGAGACGAGAAAGATCTTTGGGGATTTGACCGCTCAGTGAATTGGAACGCAGGTCGAGAACTTCAAGAGCAGAACAGTTGCCCAGCTCAAGGGGGATGAAACCAGACACTTTATTGTGAGACAAGGAGAGAACAAGTAGTGACTTCAAGAAACCAAAAGTGGAGGGAATGTGACCAAAGAATGAATTAGTGGAGAGGTTCAAATACTGCAGACCTGATAAGCTGCTGAAACCTTCAGGAACTTCACCAGACAACCTGTTCTCTTGCAATGCAATCACTTGCAAGCTAGGCAAACCATAGAGATCAAAGGGCAATTCCCCAGACAAACTTTGTCTGCTCAGATCAAGAACTTGTAACTTGTAGAGAGTGCCAATGCTTGTTGGAACTCTCCCTGAAAACCCACTGCCACTCAAGTTCAGAGCAGACAGCTCTTGTAGGTTTCCAAAGCTCACAGGAATACTACCAGAAAAGTGGTTTGAGCTGAGGTCCAGTCTGCTCAAATTGATCAATCCCATCAATTCCTCCGGTAATCTCCCGGAAAGAACATTACCTCCCAAGTCCAGATTCACAAGATGAACCAGATCCCCGAAACTCGAAGGAATGGAGCCAGAGAACTTATTCCTACCGAGAGACAAGCTTGTCAAGTTTCTAAGCTGCCCTAGGAATGCAGGAATGATCCCAGACAAGTGATTTCCTCCCAGATCAAGAATCTTCATACCAACACATTTTGTGATCTCAACAGGTACAACACCATCAAATGAATTGTTAGCCATTCTTAATTCCTCCAGTAATGATAAATTCCCAATAAAACGAGGGATAGTACCCGAGAACGAGTTTCCAGAAACATCTATGGAAGTTAATGCAGAACTGCCTGTCAAGAACAAGGGGAAATTGCCATGGATGCCATTATGCTGAATCTCCAGAATTTGTAAACTGGAGAAACATTGAGATGATTCGGGTGGTACAATATCCGTGAATGAGTTAAACCCTAGCTGAACAACCCGAATAGATGGAGGACGAACGGATGCAGTGCAGAACAATGAAGAGGGTATTGAGCCAGAGAGATTATTGTGTGTTAGAGATATCACCTGAAGCGTAGGAAGTGCGCCAATGGCAGCTGGAATGACGCCGCTGATTTCATTCCATTCGGCATTCAGTTGGACCAGTGAGGAGCAATTGGCAATTGCAGAGGGAAGAGTCCCTTGCAAATTGTTGTTTGAAAGCCAGAGGTACTGAAGCTGTTGGAGCTCTCCTAACCCTGCCGGAATCTCGCCTGAAATCAGATTCCCGGAGATGTTAAGGAACCGGAGCTGAGAGAGATTCGAAATGCTCCTGGGTATCTCTCCAGTGAGGGAGTTCGAGGAGAGATCGAAGTAGGTGAGAGTCGGTGGTAAATCCGCCGGAATTCCGCCGGAGAGCTTGTTTCCGGCGACATGGAAAATCTTCAGACCAGCGAGCTTCGAAATTCCGGGGGGCAGGACGCCGGAGAACGAGTTGTCCTGCAAAAACACAGAATGTAAGAGCGAACATTCCAAAATGGAGGAAGGAATGCTGCCATTGAAGGAATTCGAACTGAGACTCAGCTTCCGGAGCAACCGGAGCTCAGAAATTCGGGGCGTGAGCGGGCCGCTGAGCCCTTGCCGAGAGAGGACCAGTTTACTGACGCGGCCATTGACGCAATAAACGCCGCTCCAGTCGCAGGGAGCCGCCGGAGAAGAGGAGTCCCAATCGGAGAGAGATTCAAGCGGGTCGTGAAGACCGAGCTTGAAATCGCTGAGCGCCTGGATCTCGGCTAGGTTTCCGGCGGCGGCGGCGGCGCATGCAGCGGAGACAAGGACGGCGAAGAGAAGCAGCGGCGGAGAGATCGAAGAAGCCATTGACGGAATCGGAATCATTCTAGGTTTTGTACATTGCAAGGGGGATGAATATTGAAGAACATTAAGAAGAAAAGGGAAGAAGAAAGAGGGGCAGCTGTATATATATATACACGCAGTCACACAGTCTCTGTATAGCTCTTTTTCTCTGTCTAGGGAATTTAAAGCCAAGGAAGAATGGTAAAGATGCTTACGAATTGACACAATTAACCTCCTGAGTCCGAACCGTTTTTGGGCCCCCCTTGTGGAAACTTATTTCGGAGTTCAAATTTTGATTTAGACAAACTATTTACGGAGTATTTAAATATTATTAAAATATAATGATTTTATTAATATAAAAATTGTTTGGGATTGCATTTCAAAATAACTTATAGCATCTACTTTACTAAAACATAATTTTAAATGTTTGCTAATCTGCTTCACCTTATAAATTATGGTTTTAGAAGTTAAAATTAAGGTCTAGAATTGCTTTCTAACAAAGCTAAAAATACATGTTTTCTGCTTCTAAATTATAACTTCTATTTTTACATAACTCACCACACTCCCAAACACCATCATAGTATCATACTCCCTCCGTCCCTAATTTGTTTACAAATTGCGGGTTATAAAGTAAAATTTCCTACTTGCAGACTTTAAAAAACTACTCCCTCCGTCAAGTTTACAGACTTTAAAAAACTACGTCAAAATTACAAGTAAACAAAAGGAAAAATTGTAATAAACTCCATAATAAGAGTAGTCATTATACATAACAAATAACAAGTGTGTTAGTTAAAATATCAAATTTGTTACTCCGTATAATTTACCTCTTCATTTGGATTGGACAAAAACAAAAATAAATTGCTAGAATTGTTATATTTTACTCCATCCGTTTCAAATTAAATTACATATTTATTATCCACACGGTTAAACTTTATTTACTTTCTTTTTCTATTTTCATTAGTCATTTGATAAAATAACATTATTATGTCATCACTAGTCCAGTAGATCTTTTGATGTAGTTTTTAAATATAAACCAGTAATTTTTTTAACTTTATAGTACTATTTTTCATATAATATTATTTAAAAATAACTTATGTCAAACATTGTAAATGTAAACATGGGATTTAAATTGAGACGGAGGAAGAAGCATTTAACAAGGTTCAAGATGTTCATACGTCTTCAAATTATGAGCTTCTTTTGAATAATGTGTGAATCTTATATATTTTGAATTTATTTTGTTATCAATTGGGTATAAAAATAAAAAAAATATAATTTTTTAATTCAAAAATATAATTTATATATTTAAAAGTACAAGTATATATTAAAAATTCTACAAAATAAGTGGTGACATATCTAATTTATTTTGGTAAATAATCAATAAGACAAATATAAACAAATGTTATTCTCCATATATCCAAAACCTTAAATACTCCCTCCGTCCCAAATTATTTGCCACATTTGTATTCCCGAGGCAAAATATCAAGTTTTTTCAATTCATTTTATTTACATATTGGTATAAAAATAAAATTTACATATAAAAAAACTACATGAAAAGTTCTTCGAAATAAGAGGAGTCAAGAATATTTTATTTTATTAAATAACTAATGAAAACGTCAAAATAAACAAAAGTTCTCGCGACTGCTGAAAAAGCAAATGTTGTGAATATTTAGGGACGAATGGAGTAATAAAGAAGACAATGTAATAAAGAACCGTTCTTAACATTTAGCTACGAGAGGATCACTCATTCACTAACTACCCCTCTTACATCCCTATAAAATTGTTATTTTCCCTTTTTGTTCATCTCAAAATAAATTTTAATTTTTGTTTATTCCCATAAAAGAAAATGGATAACTAAGCGGCTTATTACAAGTTACAACATTTCTCTATTCTCTAAACAAATTTATTTTATCCCCACGCATTTCATTTTTCAATTTTTTCATCTCGATTCTATTATGAATGTTTTGATCAAGCGAGACGCTAGACCTGTTTGGAAATAGCGTTAGCATTTTGAATAAAATTAAACGTTATCTATGAATAGCTTTTTCAATTTTAGCGTTTTGAATAAAATTTTAATGGTATAGATTAATTTTGAAAATGCTGACGCGGAAGGTAATTGTTAGAAAACCTTTTCAAAATATTATAATTGATGGGATTAACCCGATCAGATGGCGGACCAAGAACGGAATATGAATTAGGAAGATATAATTACTCGATAATATTCTTTGATTAAGTATTGAATTGTCTTGTTGTGACCTGCTTTACAATGGCGGGTTTTCCCCTCTTTATAGTACTTTCTAATATTCTAATTAAAATTACACAAAATGGAAATGGATTATGGAGATCATGGGGTTGTGATTCCCCTTCTTTCCGGTCTCGTTCTCTTCCCATTTCGCCCATAACTCGACGATGTGGGCCACGTGTCCCATTCCTCCTTTGGACTGGGTCGCTTTGATCTACCTCGTGTTTGGGCCGTCTTCCTCCTCTGGCCAAATACGGGATGACGGGCTTGGCCCGTCATCCCATCTGGTCTTATTCCTTTTGGGCCATTATAGGCCTCCATTTGGGCCTGAAGTCGGGTTTACCAGACCCGATATCCATCACAAGCCCCCTAGTTTTCTGGCGACGTGTCGCTAGAAAACTAATGATGAGCCGCCTTCGATCTTCGTGTCGGATTAGAAACGTCGCACTCGAGTACCTCGGGTCCACCTTTCAACGGATAAATACCCCTTCTGGACTCATCTTCTTCCTCTCGCCACTGAATCTTAACCCGACCCGAATTCCGACTGCAATTTCCCCAAAATCCTTGTCTTCTTCTCTGTAATGGCCCCTACAAACCCCGAAACCTGGATCCACGAACCTTCAATTATCAAGGAAAACGAACTTCGAGAGATGGCCGTGCTCCTGGGCAAGGGCTTCCGGGTCCACCATCCCGATGCCGTTGGGGGGATTAGTTTAACCTACAATCCAAATCCCAAGAAATATATGGTCATGCAGTACCACTTTGTGGAGAATGGATTTAGGTTGCCCCTCCACGGCCTGCTCCGCGACCTTTGCCTCCATTTTGGATTTGCTCCGGGTCAATTGACTGCCAACGCGCACAAGTATGTCGCGTCCTTCATCCTACGGTGCTGTGCCCTGGACAAAACCCCGACACTGGACGAATTCCTTCTCCTTTTCAGCATCGGTGGTTTTCCCTTTTACAGTCTATACCCCCACAATCATTTTCCTATTTTTGAGAAGGTCGAGCTCAAGATCGACAAATGGGCGCTTAAATACTTCGTCATTGAATTCCCGGCTCACAGCCCCATCGATCTGCCGGGTGTTGTCCTCCGCCGTTCCATTTCCCGGACGAAATTCGCCCAGGCAAACTTGGCGGAGGGCACGTATAATGCTTTGAGGGAGAAGGAGGGTCTAATTTCCCACCACTCTCTCCAAGAGGCTAAACTGTACAAAAAGGCAGGTTTCTATTATTCCCTGGGTCCTGACCCGATTCCCTTTGAGGAGGTACCCTCCCCCGAGAGATCAAAAGCCCCTTCTGCTGCAGAGTCCAACCCGGCTGCAAGCTCTTCTAGAGATCGGCCCCAAGGTGGTTCCACTACCTTAGTCGTGCGCAATCCGGATGCTGCTCTGAATGTTGTTCCCATCTCTGCCATTCCCGGACTCAAGAGGCCCACTCCGTCCCAGAAATGACCAAGGGAGGGAGTCACTGATGATGACTTCTTACCAAAAAAAAATAGGGGTGATAATATCTCCGTTTCACCCAGCCCCCTGTCAACCTCTTCTGGTCCTCAGAATTCTTCTTCCGCTGCCACTCCCGGAAGTTTAGGGCTAGAGCTACCCAACCCGGGAAGTCTGGACCAGGAGGCAGATGAAACTCCAGGCCAGGCGTCACTCACAAAACCTGCAGTGCAACCTCTGCCTGATGCAAACAATTCCCCGCCTCAAAATGTATCTGCCCTCCTAGAACCGGAGGAAAAAGCTGAGGGGCAGAAAGAACCAGAGTCTTCTCTTGCAGCAGAGGATGAAGTTGAAGTGCGGCTAGAAGCAGAAATCTCCCACCCAGAGGATAATGGGGCTAGAGAGCACAGAGATGCTGGAGCTCCCTCAGAGATGGAGAGAGAGATTGGGAATCAACCGGAGCAGAAGGGACAGGGTTCTACGGCCACACTCCCAGCCCCCAATATCCCCACCCGGCGTAAGTTCACACCGCAAACTTACTCCGCTTTTACCGAGGGTTGGGAAGGCCTTTCCCGCGGTTTGAGATCCCTACAAGCCTCCCATTGGAATATCCAGGCGAACCTGGAGAGGATGAGGGACTCAGTGCAGGGGCCCACAACTCTCCAGACTCGCCCCGACCTGCTTGCCCTCAATGCCCTGCACTTTATGGAGCAGGTACTCTTTCCTTTCGGAATTTTCCTTATCTCCTTTTAGGTTAGTCCTTTTCCTTGACTTCCCTATCCTTCTTTTTAGGCCCAGCAATCACTCTTCACTTTGACTGAGGAGTACCTGGGTGGAGCATCAGGGAACTTCCGGGCTGCAATGCTCCTGAGGGAGAGGGATCTGGCTGCCAGGGCCTTGCAACAAAAGGTTGAGTCCCTGGAGCAACAAGTCCAGGTCCTGCAAGGGGAGAATGCTCGGCTCCAAGCAGATGGCTCCACGGAGCTTGCAGCTGAGAAATCCAAGGTCCAGTCCCTGCAAGATCAGATTGCCAATTACCAGAAGGAGACCCAGGATCTGGAAGTGCAGTTCGATAGATTCCGAGCTCAACTCTCAAATCTGGAATCCAGGGCCTCAGCTTCAGAGGGCCAGGTAGGAAGCCTGAAAGCTGAGTTGGCTGAAAGGGAGTCCAGGATCTCTGCGCTGGAGGAATCCCTCCAGGACGCCAATCATGAGAGCTCCCGTCACAATGAATTCGCCCTGAAGCAGATGGAGGCAAGGCGGATCGTCCTCGAGCAGTTGAAAGGAGAGAGACAGGCTGCAAGTGAGCTCCGGGCAAAGGTGGATGAACAAGAGAAGAGGGTCGCTGCTCATCAAGAGGAGGTGGCCACCCTGATTGCCCGTGCCAAAACCCTCTACGAAGAGGGACAATTTGACATGCAGCAATGCATCTACGGGGCAGTCCAGAGTGGTCTCCTAGAGAACCGCACTTTGGATGACTTCATCTCCTACTATGGGTTACCTCTCCCTCTTTCTCCCCCAGCTTCTCGTGCAGACTCGGGGCCTTGACTTTATCCCTCCTTGTTGACTGTCATATTTTGCCTTGTAATTATTTGGATTATGGTAAATTGATAACATCCGATGTATTTTTGTTCATGTAGACTCCTTTAGTAATCTGACTGTTCTCCTTTTGGTATTCTTGTTTTGCCCTAGGACTTAGCAGATTTTTTTACCCGCCTAGGCTTTGGGCTTAACCGCATTCACAACGCACTGTTCCTCTTATTTACCATCGCGCTAAGCGGCTGGCCCACTTTAATTATGCCGGGCCCAACTCACCTTAGCCCAATGATAAGATAGTGGAACCCTAGCCCTCCTCGGGAATCCGCAACTGCCTCCCAATCGGATAAGCGCTTTGACTCCGCGTCCCTTGCCCTTCTCCTTTGGGATTACTCACCTATTTAAGGGGCTGGGCTAAGCCCTTTCCATACCACAATCAAGCTCTCAACATGGCTAATAACGCCAATAGAGTTGTCTTCATTGATCTTACTATTTCTGATTCTTCTTCTGATTCTTCTTCGTTGGCATTCCCTTCACTTGGGTCCCCAACACCTGAGCTCTCTTCTGGGCCTTCTCTTGCCTCTGAACAATCGGTAACCTCCCCCTTGCCCAGGGAGGAGAATAACCCTCATCTCCCCCAACAGGTCTCGGGGAGTATCCCTCCGGGTCCCAGCGTGCTTCCTAACAGTGCCAGGGCTGAAGTCTCTTCTGGCTGTCCTGGCACTTCTCGTCCACAGAAGAGACGCAATCCCCACTCAGGAGCTTCCCGGCTGGTCTCCGGTGCGAGGCCTTCTTCTCAGAGTTCCCCTTCCCCTCAGCAGTTGCATGGACAGCCACCTGAGGAATGGGGGGACTATGACATGGGGGGAAACAGGCTTCCCTTTATACGCAGGGAAAAGGATGGGGCCTTCAGGGACCCACCCCCTCCTTCCGTATAAATGGAGATAGGCCT